TGCTGCTGGTGTCCTTCAGGACATGAGTTATGCTCACCTCTAGCCTGGGGAGGGAGCTTGGCTGCTGGCTCTGCACTGCTTCTCTTGCTGCTTCTCTCCCTGCCAAGCCAGGCCGGAGGCTGAGGCTCTGTCCCCAGCGAGGCCACCAAGTGCAGCTTCTTGCAGCCCAAACCTGCTGGGCAATGAAGCAGAGCGGATTGGCCTGGTGCCTTGCAGGAATTCCTGTTATCCACCCTCCTGTGGCACATGGGGCAGGGCAGCCCAGAGCAGAATTTCTGTGCTCCTACAGAAACTGCCCCAGCAGAGCATTTCTGTACTGAAATCTGCATCCTGCAGGCAGCTGGGGAAGCACTGGAGCTTTTTTGGGAGAAGGGGCCTTTTCCTAACATAGAAGGGAAACTGGAGGTGGTCACAGTGGGACAGATATTAATTTCTTCCTCTCCCCATTGTGTTTAGATCAAAAGTCAACAGCAGAGAGCCAAGGGGTGATCATCGTGGCCATCATCGTGGCCATCCTCGTGGTGGCTGTGCTGGGCGCTGTCATCTACTTCCTGCACAAGAAAGGCAAGATCCCGTGTGGCCGTGCAGGGAAGCAGGACATGTAAGCACTGCCACCTATCCCCCAGGGGCCTGTGGGGCTGGGGGTGCCTGGTATCACTCATGCTTCCCATCCCATCCCATCCCATCCCATCCCATCCCATCCCATCTCACCGCTCCGGCTCTCCCTGCCCGGCGCAGAGCGGGGCGGGAGCGTGGCCTGGGGGGCACCGCGCCGGGGGCTCAGCAGCTTCTCCAGCTTCCCACAGGGCACTGCCGTGCAGGGAGGAGACAGCAGAGTGCTAGAGCAGCCAAGGGCCCCCTCCCTGGGCAGTCCAAAGCTTTCTGTGAGCTGGAGTCTCTTTGACCCCAGCGCTGTGGTCCCCCGAGATGGAGCCCCAGGGCTCGGCCAGCCACGTGCCCTCCTGCGTATCGCCAACGCGTCTCAAAAATTGTCACCTCCCTCCCCTAGCACAAAGCCAGAGGCCCGTAAAGACAAGATTGTAGTTGAAGTTAAGTCAGATAAACTTTCCGAAGAGGCGGGGCTCCTGCAGGGCGCCAACGGCGAGAAGAGAGCCGCAGCTGACCAGGTAGGACAGAGCGCCGGCACCGCCCGCGCCGCTCAGGGACGGGGCTGCACCCAGGTAATGCTTTGCTCCCCTCCTCCGGCACTGCCCACCCTGCACGGGCCTCCATCCTCCATCAGCAGCGCTCGGGGGGGCCGTGGGAGCAAGGGGAGGGGGCAGTTCTGGGAGGTGACAAAGCTCTGCTGGTGGTGGTGGCAGTGCCCTGCTTGGCTCTGCCCCTTCCGCGGAGCAGCAGCCAGGCTCCCCAGGGGAGAAGGAACTAAAATAGAAAGATGTCTGGCCAGAAGTCAGAGCAGAGGCTGCAGGAATGGTTCCTCTTAGCCAGAGATCTCGGGATGAGTCTTTTGGGACATGGGCGTTCCCCTCACCTGGGATGGAGCAGCTTTGCAGTGTCACTGCTGGGCCACCACTGTCCAAGATGCAGCCCCTGAGCCCACTGTGGTTTTGTTTGCCTTGGGCCAGCCAAAGATGCAGCCCCTGAGCCCACTGTGGTTTTGTTTCCCTTGGGCCAGCCAAAGATGCAGCTCCTGAGCCCACTGTGGTTTTATTTGCCTTGGGCCAGCCAAAGATGCAGCCCCTGAGCCCACTGTGGTTTTATTTTCCTCAGGGCAGGAGAGAGCCCCTGCCTGGCTGTGCACAGCTCCCACTCCCCTCCCCTCGGGGTGGGTGTTCAGCCACCCTGGGGTGCCCCGGCTGTCCCCACCCCTTGTGTGTCACTGCCACCCTGCAGCAGAGGGCTGGGTTTGTGTTCATCCCTAACCGAGTGTTTTCCCTCTCCTTTTCTCTTCTGTCGGAACTGAAGAGCGAGAAATACATCGATCTGAGAAACTAGAGAGGAAACCTACTAAGTGCTTTCTTCCTTCAAACCTTTCCTGCTCTTGGATTGCCTTCTCCCACCCCTGCTCCAGCCCCTGGGGAGCACGGCCAGAGGCCAGCCGAGTGTCACCGTGCTGGGGACACCTCCCTGGCTCACCTGGCCATTACCTCAGCCCTGGGCTCGCAGGTGTTGCCTTAGCAGCAAAGCTGGACTCGCTTTACTACTCCAGAGAAGCCACAGCAATATTAGGAAGAATTATATCCCATTAATCCCTACTTGGTGGAAGGATTTGAGGTTCTTTCAGGTAATCTGCTCTGTACATGTTGTGGGAAGGTTTTGACGCATTCTTTTTACCCTGACCTTGCTCAGAGAGGCTGGTGAAATTTGGGTTTTGGGATGTCTGAGGCACCTTAGCTGTAGGGCGTGCAGGTTGGAGGAGAGAGGAGAGGAAGGGGGGTGTGTTAGAGAGGTGTTTGCAGCTTCTCAGAGGGTTTGAGTGCTTTGCTTTGTCTTTGAACCGTTCCTGGGTCAGTTTATCGCAGAGGTGCTGCGATCCCACAGGAGGAGAGGACCTGGCAGAGCAAGGAAGGGGTGCCAGTCTCCAGAAAGGCTTGAGGGTGTCTGGTTTGGAGCTGCGCTGACTGTGCAGGGCTCTCTCTCCCCTCTGAATCTGGTTTATTGTAGAGACGCTGCAACAGCAGGACCCAGAGCTCCCACAGGCTTCAATTCAATATTGGACAGGGCCAGTCAGTGACGTCTCAGGGTTTTTTTGTGCTCAGCCATTGCCAGCCCCAGGTCAAACTCCTCCCTGAGCTCCGCTGCCACCCCTGGCCCCGCGGGGAGGAGAGGAGAAGGGCGAGAACCTGCCACGAGCTTCTGTGCCAGCCCTCCCCTGCCTCACCCCAGAGGGATCAGCCCCTCCTGCCTCTCAGTGCCATCCTCTGAGCTCTGCTGGCCGCACGGCTTCGCGCCCTGGGCGTCCCAGCCCTGACAGAGGAGCTGTCCCCTCCTGCTACACGTGGTGTCCGAGCAAAAGCTTTGGTTTATATATATTTTTGTTGGATTGTGTGTACATTTCCAGGAGTTTTATTTCCTTTTTTTTTTTTTTTTTTTTTTTTTTTTTTTTTTTGTCCGATATTTGGGATTTTGCAAAAGTGGAAAGTCCCAATGAAACACTGTCAAATTTCCAGGGTTTTTTTTTCCCTTTTTTTTTTTTTTTTTTTTTTTCCTTGTTGTTGTCCGATACTTGCGAGGTTTTTTTTTTTTATATATGTGAAAATAAAGTACGGATTCAAAGCTGAGTGGTGGAGTTTGTTCCCACAGACAGAAGGGTGGGAAGGGCATTCCATAATCCCATGGAGGTTCCAAGAGGATCCATTTATGCCCCTCTGGCTGCTAAGAATACACTAATTATTGCCAATGCTAATAAATCTGCCCATTCTAATAATAAATATAATAATAAAATATAATAATAATAAATTAATAATAATTTATGCCCCTCTGGCTGCTAATAATACACTAATTAATATCAATGCTAATAAATCTGCCCATTCTAATAATAAAATATAATAATAATAAATTAATAATAAATCATTCTAGTTTTAGGTTGAAATAGGTGATTATACCACTAGATCTTAAAAAATAATACTGTAAATAGAATTTAATATTAGTATTTATTGATAATTTAATTAATAGATAGTACCAATACTGTAGATGCTAATGTGTAGAGAAGATGACACTAAACACTAATAAACTAACACTACTAATTAATAAAATATATTAATAAAGTTAATAACCACCCCCTGTCACTACCCTGAGAGGACAGAGGGCAAACAATGGGTGACACCAAAGTGTCCCTTCTCCTTTGGCCCCAGCTCACAAGAATTAATTCCTGTGTCCTCATCTGAGCCCTTGGTCAATTACTGGGGACTCAAATGACCTAAAGTAACCCCTGTGACCTAAAGTAACCCCGGTCAGGGCCTCAAATGACCTCAAGTGACCCCTGTGACCTCAAGTAACCCCGATTGGGGCCTCGAATGACCTAAAGTAACCCCAAAATGGGTCTCAAATGACCTCAAGTAACCCCTGGAGAACCAAAAAATTCTCAGATGACCTCAAGTAACCCCTGTGACCTCAAATGACCCCAATGACCTCAAGTAACCCCAATTATGACCTCAAATGACCCCAATGACCTCAAGTAACCCCAACCATGACCTCAAATGACCCCTGTGACCTCACGTAACCCTGAACAGAGGCTCGAATGACCTCAGGTAACCCCATCTCCTCATTTCACCCCGATTTCCCCGTTTTCACCCCACTTCTGAGGCTCCTGTGAGAGGTTTTTCCCAAGTTCAGGCGTCCCCCATGTCCCCAGTCTCCCCCACTGATTTGTTTGGGGGTTCCCATGCGACCCCTGGGTGTCCCCCTTTGTCCCCAGCTGGTGTCCCCTGGACCACTGTGTCCCTGTTTATTTTATTTCTGGGCCCCTCCTGGCTCTGGAATGTTGGAGTGTGGCAGAACCTGGATTTATTCTATCTATTTTATATGTAAAATATTCATATATGGATATATATGAATAGATATCAATGAGTATTCAATTAATGGATTCAATTATATAGAATTATTTCCTATCTTTATTAATAATTCATAATAGATTCTAATTATTCTAGAATTGTGATACACATACATGTAATTCTAGAATTGTGGGAGATATCAATTTATTTATTTCTAGAATTTCCATGCAATAACTTCAAAAGTCTGCAGAATATTCCCATGGATTCCCTTGGATTCTCTTCCTGGGTGGTAACTTCATGTTCTTCTTGGTCCTGATTAGAGACTTTATTCATTGATTCTCCCAGAAAATGTTTAATTACTATAATCTTTATATAAATCTTTCCTGGCCTCTTTCAGTGGCCGGAATATCAATTTAAATTTAACAGATAATTGTGGTGATAATTATAAAATAACTCCAAAGTCAGTCTGCAAAGGATCCAGGAGATTGAGACCCTAAAATTTTCTTTTTCCAGCACTTACAGAAGCACCACAACACACACACACCATCTGCTACAACAAAGGAAATTTTATTTAAAAATAAAACTTTGTTTTGTTTTCTTTCTTACTGACACAGGTGAATGAAATCCCAAACAAAGAAGCTCTTAGTGGGCAGCATACAAGGATGGAAACAATTAATAAATAACATTAGTATAACCTCTAAACATTAACAATGCATCTGCAAACAAAATGAGGACTTTAAACCAAGTGAACCTTAAAGCTCAGCTACTCTCTGTAAGAATATTTACCTTCTGTTTTTCCTTATTCTTTACAGATCTGAAAGGATTAAATACTGCTATTATAATTTTATATTAATGACACTATTATACTTTTTTTTTTTTAAAATATCTCGTGAAAATCTCAACATTTTTTAACACTGATATTTTACAAATTGGTATTTGTCATCCATGAGAAAGAACAACAGTAACAGCAGTTCTTCCTCCACTGGGAATTTCAAACAAAAAAGATTTTTAGGAGGAACTTTAAAAATAAATGTCCTTATTCCCCACTAATCTTTAAAGTGGCACCTCTGAGAAGGTGCCCTGGGAGTTGCATTTTTTCTTGCTCAACTGAAAAAAAATAAAATAAAAAGAACAAAAACCCAACAAACCAACCAATCAAACCACATTTACAGTAAGGAGCCTGCCTCAGGATGAGCCACAGAAATGTCACCAGTCTGGTGCAGGAGGCCCTGAGCCCTGGGGAGGGCTGGGACAGGGACATGCACAAAAAAGGGGAAGATTTGGGATTCCTGCTGGGCTCTGCACACAGGAAATCACCTGGATCCTGCTCAGGAGGGCACCTCCCGCTTCCCACAGCTCCTGTTCCTGCTGGGAGAGTCCCCCACTCCTTTGGGAGAGTTTCCCACTCCTGTTGGGAGCGCTCTCTGCTCCTGTTGGGAGTTCCCCACTCCTGCTGGGAGTGTTCCCTGCTCCTTTTGGGAGTGTTTTCTGCTCCTTTCAGGAGAGTTCCCCACTCTTGGGAGTGTTTCCCACTCTTTTGGGAGTGTTCTCTGCTCCAGCTGGGAGAGTTCCCCACTCCTGTTGGGAGTGTTCCCCACTCCTGCTGGGAGTGTTCCCCACTCTTTTGGGAGTGTTTCAAGCTCCTTTTGGGGACAGCCCCAGCATTTTTTATCCCATCCCACGATCCCGACTTGGCCCCGAGCTCGGCACAGCACCAGTCCAGACAGGGAAGCTCCACGGCTGAAATGCTACAAAACACAGTGTCAGAGTCCAAGTGAGCATTGCCCATCTCTCCTGCTCCTCTCTTCACCCCTTCCCAAAGCAGTTTGGTGCTGCTTGTCCAGCTCTGCTCATTTCCCCACAGGGGTGGATCCTCAGATCCAGCCTGCCCACGCAGCATCCCCTTAAGAAAGGCACTAGACATTTGGGTGGTTTTTCCTTTTTAGAGTAGCATCAGAAAGGTAATTTCCTTAAGAATAAAGAAGAGGGAGGTGAAAGGAAAGAAGAGCAATCAATCTTGGGCTTAGAAAGAACAAGAAAAATCCACTGGGCAGTGCCTGGATTGAGCTGGCAGAGCACAGCCACAAGACATGGCCAGGACCCTGCTGCCCTCAGTGGAATCAGCAAATTCTTAACGTGTCTAAGGAAGAAAAGGCAAGACTTAAGTTTCTTAAATCAGTTTGAGACATAAACAAGTGCACAGAAAGGACACATGCAGAGAAATCAGCAATACATGCCACAAAGATTGCTCTCTCTAATCTCTAATACCCAGAACAACACCCACAGGAACATCTCTTGGCACATAGACCCCAAAGACAGGCCTGGAACAGCTCTGCCAAGCAGGATTTCATGGAAATTACAGCCAGCCTGCCCTGAGGGGCTCGGAGGGGACAGGGAATCACTGGTGCCACAGAGCTGGGCAGGACAAGAGTTAAGGCTTTGGAGCTGGCTGGCTCAGCCGTGGCAGGAGTCACACTGAGCTCACACAGCAGGGCAGACACCAAACGGCTCCAAACCAACACAGAGCCCAGTGGGAGCGTGGAAAAGAGGGAAATAAACCCCCCACTAAAGGGTTTGCACCTGGATCTCCAGGACAAGGGATTGTTTGGCTGCTCAGGCTCCCCACAGCATGCCACAGCTGTCCCCTGCTCCTGCCTCAGCAGCACCAGTGCTGGCCTTGCTCCTGCAGAGGCTCCCACAAATCCCACAGGGAGCAGGGCTGGCACCCCTGGCACCTGCACTGGGGGCACAGGAGGAAGAGCAGCTCTTCCTCCCCTCCTTCTTCCCCCAGGCACTGAGCCCACCTTCCCCAGGGCTGTGCCCGAGCCCTGTGCCCTGCAGAGCACCCTGCCCACTGCCAGACCTGGCACGTGCCAGCCCTGAGCCCAAAACAGCAAAGGGTGGAGGGTCAGGGAGCATGGCAGGAAATCTCCTCACACTGTCTGAGTGTCTTCTCCACTACAGAGAGGACAGGAGTAAAGAGAGACACTTCAGCCTGCCTGGAAGCCACTGCAGCCATTCAGAAAGCTGTAGGTCTAGAGAGAAAGCTCACCTTGAATAAAAAACCCACTTTCTGCTCTGCTAACACTCCTGGAGGCCTCTCTGCCACTGCAGCCATCTGGCCCAGCCCCTGGATTCCTCAAAAGGCCAGACTGCACCCGACTGCCAGAATCACTCCAGCAATATTCCAAGCTGCAGCCCTTAGCCCAGTGACCTCTGCTGACCTCAGGGAGATGCAAATAATGCTGGACAAGCTCCAAAGGCCAAGAGCCTCTCAGGATGACAGGCTGTGATCTGTCTGTGCCTCTTGGAGCTAAATCCTCTCCAAAGGAACCATCCACTCCTCCAATACGAACAGAGTTAAGTAGCTGAGTAGGCAAGTCAGGTTTTTCCAATGCAACAGCTGAGTTCTGACCTTTAAAACCATGTGATCGCTTCACAAATACAGAATTTTTTCCCCAGGTCTGTTTTAACACCAGACCTGGCAATACTTTAGAGAAATGGAAATGGAAAGGAGAGCCCCCGTGTTGTTTGGACAGCCATGCAGAGAACTGCTGCATTTCTGTGACTGCAAAGCAGGTGAAATTCCAACAAACACATCAGCTGCATCTACCAACTCCACAAAACACCCTGGCACGACGATGGCTCCTGCAAAAGCTCTCTGGAGGAATGTGTGTGAAGGCCACTAGTCTGCAACAGCCACCATGCAATGAAGATAAATAAAACATCCAATTTACCAGGTGCAACATTCCTAGGGAAGAGCAATGGGAGTGTCCAGTGACGGCTGCTCCAGCCCAGCAGGGCCACAAATCAAATCTGAGCACTGAAGCACAAAATGCTCAAGGCTAAGAGAGGAGAAGCAGCAGCCCCAGTTCTTTGCTCTTGCTCAAATTCTTTGTCCCCTCTCCCACCCCTCAGAACCACGTCAATCTCCTCCAGCTGCTGGAATCTGGTGCTGCCAGTGCAGGAGCACACACACACACACAGAGGAATCCAACGGACAGCAGTGCCAGGACCAAAATCCCTGACAGAAGCTCATCCTGCCATCTCCAGGCAGCCAGGGAGGACTGGAACCAGAAGCAATAACTGCTATTATTACAGGCAAGAGGGACACACCACGGCCAACAGGAAGCAATCAAAGGATTCTTCCAAGGTCTCCTATAAATTCCCAGCAGAAAGTGACCTCCCAGCTTCTCTAAAAAGCCTGAGCCAGAAACACAGCAGCGAACAGATCCAAACCTAGTACCATGAACCACAGGACACACCACACCGACCTCGAGACTTTGTTTCTCTGAGCATCCACTTAAAATTCACAGCACAAAACAACTCCCCCCAGCCTCCAGGGCATCGGCTCGGGGATCCCTTGTCACAATGCCTTTCTCTACCAACACCCTGGAAATAAATCTGCTCTCTCAGACAAGAGGTAGGGGTAAAGGACTCCAAGACATACACTGTATAAAACACCGCTCCGCTCCATCCCACTGCTTTGAAATCTGGAACCACGAAAACCTGATAACTGATTCTCTTCAAGAGGCAGGACTGACCTCAGCACGAAGTCTCTAAAGGAACCCCCTTCCCCTTTGGTGCACAGCTGGGCAGCAGCTGCCCAGGCAGTTGGTCCACAGCAGCTCAGGTGTGGAGGTGCTCGTGTGCTATGTGGCCACGTGCGCCGGGGAGGAGATGGACACGAACTCCCGCAGAATATTCTTGGCCATCTCAATATTGTTATGTGCAATGACCAGAGCTTTCTGAATGTCCTGATATGAGTAGCCTTGGCTCATGAGGTTCTCGATCTCGCTGGAGAGGTGCAGGGAGGAGCTGGCCCCGCTGCTGGCTCCTCCTGCTTGGCAGCTGCCGGCTTTCCGCTCGGAGTTGATCCGCCGGGGCAGCGGCTTTGGCGGCCGCTCGGGGACCTGGGAGCCGTCCGAGAAACCTGCGAGGAGAAACAAGTGCATCATTTCAAGGGAAAGATGTGGAAATTTCGTTTGGAACGAAGCTGAGATGACAGCAGGGGGATAAATGGCACTTCAAAAAGCTGTCACTGAGCTCTGCTGCTTTCTCCAGCCCTTTTATCCTCCTTCCCAAGCTGCTCAGCTTCCCCGCCTGGGTGCAAAAACAGCTGGGGAGGTTTTTCTTAATTAGCAAGGCTCATTTATTAAGATAAAACCACATAAAAAATGACATAGGATCTATGTGTGTAAGCAGAGCTCAGATATCAGCCCTAGAATCAGAAAAAATGACACAGTGAATATTCAATTCAGCAGACATTCATTTCCTTCCAGAATCAGACAGAACCCCCCGGTTTAACTGTCCAGAGGCTGCTCCCTCATCTCTATGTGCACAAACTGAGTCCCAACTCAGCCACCACAATTGCTTCAGCAACTGAATTATGCTCTCTGAAGGGTCAGCAACTGAATTATGTTCTCCTCTTCCTCTGCTGAAGCACTCCCTGCCTAATGGCAGATCAATAAAGATCAGCCTGTTCTGCTTTTCCCTGAGTCATTCTGATGTGACACTGCCCTGCAGCCACATCATGCACTGCTGGGAAAAGGAAATAACAGCCAATAAACCAAACAAGTCACCAAACTCTCCAAGGAAAAAACACATTGTTTGATGTGCTCATCCAGCATCTGACTATTTCTGAGTTCTAACCTCCTGTATCATTGCAGAGAGCATTTTTTGCCAATCACAGGAAACTTTTTCTACACGGATGTTTGACATCACCTTAAAGAAAGATTTATTTGTCTCCTGGAAAAAGTCCTCAGGGCACTCCACAGAGTTTTCTGTCAGCAGAACTGGAGTACAACAGACAAATCACATCCACACAATCCCTTTCTAAGAGTGAGCACTGCAGCTTGCTCAGAGAAGCAGCATTGTGGGGCCTTTCTGAAAAACTTGCACCAAAAGCCCTGAGACAGAGAAGGCTCTTCAGGAACCAGATTCCCTGAAGCTTCCTCACCAACCACAGCTCAGTGCAGCTCCCTCATCTTCAGAATTGAAGTTTTTCACACATAAAAAGCTTTTTGTACATGTGAGAAGAAGGTCTGCCCCCTCCTCTGCCCCAGACTGCTGTCTGGAATAGCTGTTTCAGCTTGAGCTGGATCAAGTTTCAGAGACCATGGGTCAGTCTGAAAGGACAACTGCTAAGACAGTTATTTTGGTAAATCATTAATTAAAACTGCAGGGTCCAGCTCCTGAGAGAATAAATCTGCCAAGATGAATCCCACAGCAGTCAGGCTTGCCTGCACCACTGCCTTGCTTCCCACGGCAGTAGCAATCAGCATTTTCCACATTTTCCATTTTCCTAGCCCTAAAGCAGGACAACAGCAGTGTTATTTCAGGCCTGTAGAAACAGAGTGTCAATGATTAAACTCAGTACTCCATCTGGGAATGGGGGTGGGACTTGCTCTGTTTCTTTTTTATCCCTTTCAGCCAAATTCTACAGACCTAGGGACAGATTTAAAAAGTGAAAAGGGGAGGTGGGGCAAAAATAATGAACTTTTCTGTACTAGGAAACTCTTCTCCATGCTAAAGAAGGTCAGGGAAGTGGAATGGTGAAGCAGGAAAAGAGAACACTCACTGGGGGAAGGGGTTCTGGGTACAGGAGGTTCTGTTTCCAGAAGGAACAAGAAACTCATTCCTCCTCCTTGGCAAATCACCAGCACATTCAGAGTGAAAACCCCCAACAGGAAGAGTTTCAGAGCTTCCTTAAGAGCTGCTGAGCAGGGAGTAAGTCAATCATTATTCAGAAAGGCTCTAGGAGACACGAGGCTTTAGTTTTTCCCTCAGAGAATGTGCCTTGCAGCCAGAAGGACACCGTGTCCTCTATTCCCCAGGGACAAAAAGCTGACCTTGCTGAGCCACTGGTCCCTGCTCAGAGGAGCTGAGAGCATCAGGAGCTGTGTGCAGAACTCTTGTGCCATCTGCAGGCACTGGCAGTGCCACAAAGCATGCCAGGCCAGCCCTGCATCTTCCACCTGGCTCAGGGACACAACCCCTGAATGGTCTGGGTTGGAAGGGACCTCAAAGGTCCTTCCACCCCCTGCCAGGGGAAGGAACACCTTGCACTATCTCAGGGTGCTCCAACCCCAAATCCAGCCCAGCCTTGGGCACTTCCAGGGATGGGAAATCCTGTCTCACACTCTGGTACACCATGGTAAAAAAACAGTCTGTGCTCTGTAGGAAACAGTGGTTTAAGGAATGTACTTTAAGCTGAAAAAACCTTTTCCTAACTGTGATTTCAGGGTGATTTGCAAGCTCGGGGATTAAATGACCAAGTCAGCACATTCCAAACTATACATCAAACAAAAGTTAAAATAAATCAAACAAAATGCCTAAGAACCAATTCTGCCTCATTCATAAACCTAATTTTACACCTTACACCCAAAATCTTCTGTGAGCGACACAAGTTTCAAAGATGCAGAGGCAGGCAGCAGCACCAAGAAGAGAGAGGAGAGCTCTCAGACCTGTGACAGGGTCGTTTTCCAAGGACATTCGGCCGAAGGCAGGGGTGGCATTGGAGATATCAGACAGTGTGCGACGAGCGGTGGCCACGGGCAGCGGCGGCTTGGGGACGTCGTAGCCATCCTCCTCATTCTCTGACTCCTCAGGGCCATTGCTGGCAGTGGCTGCTGCCAGGTTCCCTTCATCTGGAAGAGGAGGCACGTTCTGAGCTCTGGGGCTGAGCTGTCTCTCAAGGCAGACTCTGCTCCCCCATTTTCCAACCGCTGACAGGACACAGAACTAAAGTTTTGCTGTTAAAACCTCCCATTTAATGGCAGTTCTTTCCAGAAGGGAAAATTAGGTTAAAAATACTTGACAGATGCAGTGCGTATGCACAGACTCATACTTCCACGTACATCCCAGCTATTTTAACAACAAAACCAAATGTAATTCTTTTAATTCAGCCTAAAATGCTGTTCCACTGGGAGCAATTCATTGTAGCCCAGTTGCTCAGCTGTTCTTTAGCACACCCACTCACCAGAAGTGTTGACAGCCTCGAAAGCAGAGGATGCTGCTTGGGAGTGAATGTTGTACATTGCTTCATACATGGAGCCCTCGGGCTGCTGGTCACAGTCCAAAACTCTGAGGGAGAGAAGACATTCCCCATCACACAGGTGACAGTGGCCAGCACCTCCAGCCTGTCTCTGTGACAGAGTTTGTGCACAGCTTCTTGTTTCAAGGTGAAATCACCACTGCTCTGTGAAATATTTGTTCTGGAAAATGTTCTATTAATGTTTATTGCAGTACAGTACTTCAGCTTAAAAGAGTTAAAATGATACCGCCAAAACTGATACCAATGAAAAATTACATTTTAGTAAGAGTTTTGAATTTCAGTTGTTTCTGCTCTCAAAAGGTTCTTGGCAGAGAGAGTGGGAAGGAAGGGGATATCTGAGTCCTTTAATACTGTACAAGGACTCTGCAAAGAGCAGTGGTCACATTTCCTTTATTGCTATTTTAGTCAAGATCTGGTGAATATCACTGGGGGAATTCAGAAATCTGAACAAGCAAAATTCCCACCCTGATGTCCCAAATGTGCTGCCCCAGAGCTGGGAGGAGGAAGTGCAAAACCAGCCAGAATCTCACCGTAAACTCTGAGTCATTTCCAAAGGCATTTTGAGCTCTGGTTTTTGCACAGCAGGACCTGGAGGCACCACAGGCAGAGAGGATGGTGACATGTATTCAGTGTCCTCATCGCTCTCAGACTGCTCCCCAGGAGGCAGTTTTGGTACAGGCAGTGGTCTGGAGGTAGGAGAAACAAGATACAAAACATTTACACCAAATCTAATTAATACCAAGGTGCCCTTTGAAATCTACAATCACCTCACAGCAAGTCTGTCTAAAGAAATAATTTGGTTTTCAGTTTGCAGCCCACAAGGTCACACCAGCACAAGCTCATGATGCAAAAGGAAGTGACAATATCATGCACATTTGTATCACACAAAGCCCCACTCAAAAGTGAATTTATTAAAGAGCTGATGGCAACTGGAGCCTGATTCCTACTGCCCAGGGGAGCTCCCACCACTCCCCACAGCTCTTTGATTTCAGCTGCTTTCTCTAAATTGTACTTTGAATCTGTCAGAGTTTAAAACTAAGACTGGAAGAGTTGTGCCAGTTCTGTCCCTGGCACCAGCACCCTGCAATTCCCACTCTGTAAGGTATAAAAAATCCCAACAGACCTGGCAGCTAAGGAGTAGATGGCGTTGGCAGACGAGGAGGGTTTGATTTTGGGGTGTTCACACTCTGAGGTTGCTGCTGGACCACTGTTGGAGCTCTGGAAGACAAAATCCCAAACCAGCAATCAGAAACAACACATGGCCCAGCGTAGCTGCAAAGCCACTCCTTCAACAGCCTCTGTGGGAATGAAGCATCCTCATTTCTTCCACAGAATTTACTGACACCTCAGGAATCTAGGAATTCTCTGACAGCTTTCCCTCAGTGAGGACATTACAGGGGCTTTCCTGCAGGAAGAACTTCACTTTTTGAGGTTTCAATGGCCTTGGCAAATTCAGCTGAAACAGGCCAAAATGGGAGCCAAGAGGAAAAGGATGCAGACAAGCACGCACAGTTGGAGACAGGATGAAAACTGTGCACGTGCCATTTTCTTAGAAAATCTGGCTAAAAATGTGCTTGCTTTCAGTTTTAGAAAGCTGGAAGCATTAGAAGAAAATGGAATCGAGGAAAGCAAAACTGCCTGCAAATTTCTTTTAGAGAACAAAATGTTGCACTAATTAGTTCACTGGTAACAGTGTCCTGCAGGTGAACAGACCAAACTGAACTCAGATTTTATCCAGTCAAACTCCTCACAGCTGATGTGATAGTTCTCTCAGGGCTGAAAAGCCAGCAGAGTAAATCAGACTTTTTCAGAGAAGGACAGAAAACATTGTCAGCTTTTCAGCACTGAAAGGACAACAATGATCAGGCAATTGGGATTTCAACCGGGATTTCAACTGGCATTTCAGCCTTGTTCCCAAAAGGAATGAAATCATCTCCCTTGCCTGGAATTCACCAGTTTCTTCCCATCTCTCCCATGACAAAATCCCGCTCCTCAATGTGAGAAGAGGGTGTCTTTTACCTCTCCCAGATTACCTCCAGCCCCAGCAGAGCTAACAGTGTCCTGCAGGTGAACAGACCAAACTGAACTCAGATTGCAGAAAAGCTGGGGGAGAGAAATATGATACCCTCTGTATCAGCTAGAACAAAATATGAGGAAAATCCAAAGTGTGCAGGGGGCAGGGATTGAGGTTGAAAACAGTAATAATAATTTGGTAGTTCAGGATGCCAGACAGAAAAAGAAGAAAGCACTTGGGGACGTCAGAGAGAACACGTCGGGGTCCCCAGATTGCTCTGCCCCGCTCAAATCACACTGAAGGGGAAAGAAAGAGCTGTGTCTGACCTTGGAAGTGGTGCCAGGGCTGGAGGCCCCGGGGGGGTTGGCCACTCGCTGCTGCAGCAGGTCCAGCCGGGGTGGCACCGGGGGAAGGGCGGCCTGAGGAGCCACCGAGAAGGGCGAGGGAGGGCGTTCCACCTGAGAGAGGAGGATGGGACATCAGCACACGGCTCAGCCCACGGAATTCCTGTCCTCTGGAGAGCCTCGCCAGCTACTAATTGCTCTGTGAGTAGCAACTGTCCTCCAGGAATGGAGGCAGTGCCCAGCACTGCAGCGCTTGGAGCAATCCAAGCTTAGCAGTGAGACACCACTGAAATGCAGCTCAGAGACACAAACCAAGGTGGGTTAACAAATAATAACAAAAGGAGTAACAAAAATGTAATTTAGAAACACAAACCAAGGTGGGTTAACAAACAATAACAAATGGAGTAACAAAAATGCAATTTAGAAACACAAAACAAGGTGGGTTAACAAATAATAACAAGAGGAGTAACAAAAATGCAACTTAGAAACAGAAACCAAGGTGGGTTAACAAATAATAACAAAAGGAGTAACAAAAATGTAATTTAGAAACACAAACCAAGGTGGGTTAACAAACAATAACAAATGGAGTAACAAAAATGCAATTTAGAAACACAAATCAAGGTATCCTGATGGAGCAACGAAAATATGACTTAGAAACACAAATCAAGGAATCCTGATGGAGTAATGAAAATGCAACTCAGAAACACAACTCAAGCTGTCCTAATAGAATAACAAAAATGCAATTTAGAACTACAAACCACCTGTCCTGATGGAATAACAAAAATACAACTTAGAAACACAAACCAGGGTGTCCTGATGGAGTAATGAAAAGCAACTTAGAAACACAAATCAAGTTGTCCTGATGGAGTAACGAAAATGCAGCTTAGAGACAGAAACCAAGCTGCTCTCGTGGAGTAACAAACCTGCCTCAGTGGGCCCTGAGCTTTTCAACAGCAAGCTGCTTTTCAACACCAGAGGGCACGATCTGCTGCAAAGCCTCCTGTGCAAACTGCTTTCACTACAGAGCACTGCTGTGCACCAAACCCTCCATTTTTGTCTCTGGAAAGCTGGTTTTCCACTTAACAAAGCAGCACAGTGTCTGTTATTCTCTTTATTTTCTCTTTTTTTTACAATCAAAGCCAGTGCTGTTTCATTTTTAAAAGCTTCACGTATGTTTGAGCTCACTAAAGCCAACAAAATACCAACATTGACAGGATGTCACACCAAGAAAATTTCTTTGCTTCCCAAAAATGTGTAAAAAAAGCCCTCCAGGAATAGTGTTTACTGATTAGTACATTATTTCACAGGGTGGAAGATAAAGGGAAAAAAGACTCCAGGTAAATCAGAGATGAAGATTCTTTCTGACAGGAAATGCAGCTTATTTTAGTTGATTCAGCTATTAAAAATTAGCCAAATTCAAACCCACTTCCCTATGCAGTAAAAAAAAAATGCAAGAGCAGCAATCAGATTTTAAAACGAGAAATGAAAATGAAATGAAAAAGCCATGCAGGGATCCACAAAGAATGCCTGTACACAGCTCCTGGAGGGAAGCAGAGTTATCACACATTTATTAGACAGATTTATCAGCCACAATATAAAAAGATGACAGCTAAATTGAGTTCCTCAGCAGAAGAGCCTGCCCTCTACCCTGTCATTTATCAGGACCTTGGGAAGGCTGTACCTGCCTGGCTGTATCCACCACTGGGGAAAAATGGATGAATTTCTGCTGATCTGGGTGAATTCTGGCCAGAAAATCAAAATATAAACACACAGGGGAGTGTTCCAAACCCAGACCTTCCATTCCAACAGGTCAGGCCAGATTTTTAACCCCTCTGGGGATTCCTCCAAGACAACACACAAAAGATCAAAGGCTTCAAAGTGTGATCCCAAACTGACAGTGTGAAGTGAGCTCACAAAACTGGACCTAAATCCCTGTTTTCCATAGGGAGCAGGATCTTTACTGTTACACAGTCTGACAAACCTCACAGGCACAATCACTAAGAGAAAACTGCTGCAGAAAAGGCACTGCCACATTTGTCGTTTATCATTTATGACCTTACTTTGGTACCAGCGAGTTCTTTCATCATGAAGAGGGAATCATCAGCTTTGTCATCATCATCATCATCGTAATTAGGAGAGGGGGTTCCTTCTGCCCCTTGCCTGGACAATCCTCCTCCTCCTCTGGGATCAAACGGATCCACCACGATTGGCTCTGTGCCTTTGATCTCACAGCGGCAGAAGGGACAGCCTTGGCCTTCGGATTCCTGCAGGGGACAGAAGAGATCTGTCACAGCAGCCTTTGGGTGCACAATTATCACCTGCTCCAGAAACAATCAGCTTTTAACCTGCTTTCTGGCAGGGAGCTTTCAACTGAGAGGAACACAAAGGCAAACTGGGCTAGAAATAAGGAATGTTTTCTCCTTGAAGTAGAAAAACAGAGCTTTAGCAAGTATTCACAGTTTTTCCTTATTCCACATTAAGAGATCAGGAATCTAAACAGCTTCTGATGCAGTGACATCATGGGACAATGTTTCTGCTACATTCTCTCCACACCTGAACAGATCTGAGAATACCTGTAAAAGATATTCTGTATAAGAATCTGTAAGAAATCTGTAAAAGAAGAGAATACCTGTAAAAGATCAAGCAGCTGCCCTCAGAGAGATAAAGAGGAGAGAGATAAAGAAGAGGCCAAGGCTCACCTGCCAGGCTGTGAGACAGGAGGTGCACATCAGGTGCCCACAAGGTTCAATCTTCACGTCCTTGTCGTTCTCAGCACAGATTTTACACAGCTGGAACGTGGAGCCCATCTCACAGTACAGCTCATATTGTTCCTGAGGGAGAGACAGCATAAATCACAGGGAGAACAGAAATATGCAAAGATTTCACTGTCATTTTATGTGCTAGATGCATCTGTCAAGCTCTGAAAAAAAGTGGAATTAAATATAAAATTATCCACTAATTTTCATTTAAGCACCCCATGAAATGCAGGGTTCAAAACATGTTGATGTTGAATGGCACAAAAGCATCAATGTTGGCAGAACATTCTAAAAATAAACCCTTAAAATCTGTCTTTGCAATCTCATCAGTGCATCCCTATCACACAAAGATTTCTGAATTCCTGTAAAATACTGCAGCACTAAAAACACATCTTGGGAATACCAAGGATGACAGAACTGGGTGAATAGCTAAGGAGGGTAGAAATCAGGGAGGAAGGCAGAGAATTGGATGGAATGGAATATTTTACCCACCTGGGTAACTTTAATGTGGTCCTGAGGTGTGGGCTCACACAAGCCAGTCAAGTCAGGATTCTGATTCCGGCCGTCAGGAAATAAATAACTGGAAGAAATTGGGAGAAAAAATATCTCTGTATGTGCCTGTACACACATGTACACACACACAGATCTAAGGTTTCTTTTGGAGGTGGGAAGGGAAGGAAGAATAAAGGTGAGAAGCAAGGGGTGGGAAGTCAAGGTATTCTGAATTCTAAAGTTTTGGATGAATTTTATGATCGGACCAAAATTAAACAAGTTATTGGTTCAAATTAAGGATTTGACAAAAAAAAAAAAAAGGGATTTATGAGAAGGGAAGCACTGGTGCACATTTATCATCTGCTCCTGCACAGCTCTCCAGTGCAAAGACAGCTGTCAGTAACTCCTGAGTGCCAAAATAGTTCAGCAATGACTTATTCCACTGACAGCAATGGGGCTATTCAAATTTTAACTGCTTTGTTGTCCTGATTTTTATAAAGTTACTTACAAGCCTTCCCTGAAGCCATCAATCAGTGCTTGGAAAAGAGGTTTGTTGTGGGGGATTGTCTGGAGAATGTTCCCATCTGCAGTGACGTAGCCGATGGCCCACTGACCCAGGCGGGTACAGCTCAGTCTGAAAATGTAACTGAAAACACAAAAGGAAAAGAAACCTCAGCTGGGAACAGACAGAAAAGATTCAATGACAAGTAGGCAGCCTTTGTCTGGCCATATCAAGACAGCAAATAAAATTAGTAGGAATAATTTGGTTATTTGTAGCAGCTTTCCTCAACTGAGGCCCAGGCAGTTCAAAGGGGAACTTTGCAATATGATACAAAATGAGAAAAAAACCCAAGCACTGGCCTCCAGGTGAAATTAAACCCAGAATCCAAAGCAGGAGAAGTTAACATCCTTAAAACCATTTGTTTCAAATCAACTTTGAAAAACCCAACAAACAAACAGACTACAGGAGGTTTCCATGTTTAAAAGCAGCCCAGAAGTAAGCACACAAGCTGCAGAAAGGAAACACAGATAACCTGTCAGCCCTGCTGCAATCAGTGGTGGCAGCCAGACCCTCCCTGCTGCCTGAGCTCTCTCTCACCTGCCAGGTTTGTGAATGAATTTCTGCAGTCTGGCCTTCACCTCGTCATAGGTGAGGAATGCCATATACCCAGGGTGAGTCACTGCCAGGCTGTTCCAGTTCCTCAGCAAGGATGACCAGGGCTGGGGAAGCACCAAAGAAACAAATTAACCACACACTTCTGCAAAGGGTTAATATTCCTGAATCAAAGGGAATGAAACATGTTTCTGTTCCACCACAAATCCAGTAGAGAAACCAAAACATTCATTCCCGTGCAGTACTTGGCATTTGAGTTTGTTGCTTTTTGCGGATAAAATTATCACCTAAAACATACCTTAATCAAAACTCCTCTAATAAATACAAAAGGAGAAGTCACTGAGGTCGCAGCTTAAGAATAGCCATCAATTGTGCTGCTTCTGCAGAGAGAATGACTCACTGCCCAGACAGGGATAAAGGCAGGAGTTTAATGAGATTATGCAGATCCCAGGAACCACGACTGCTCTGCTCTCCAACACCGACTTCCTGCATGGCCTGGGGACAGTGACCTCCCCTCTGTGTCTCAGTTTCACTGTCTGTAACTTGTGACTGTCCCTCACCAACCCAACCTCACCAGGGTGTGGCAAGAACTGTGGCTGGTCTCAGATCTGAATGAAGAAACCAGCACACAAATCTCAAATATTGCTTAAAAAGATGCCCCAAAAGTCATAACAGCCATTTGGAATCTCTCAGTCCTGAGAAGGGCTTGGGTGTGTAAATCTCACCTGATTTTTCCACATTTTTAAAATCCTCTACAGGAAGGTATCAGCACTCCCTAAGAACTCTGTATCCCCTGGAATTTGCAGCAGCTCTTGACTTGTTCTTTATGTACAACACTTGGAAAAAGTGCTGAATGAGATCAGCTACATTGCAACACCAAACATGGGAATTTTTCATCTAGACGTATCTTAATTACAACCCACCCCATCACATGGGAAAAGGCAAGTCAGAGCCAAAGAAGTAAGTGATTGTTCTTGTAAATACCCAATTGTACCATCAGAAGCTGTGTTTTTGAATTTAGCACTATTAGAGACTGTGGGGAAGAATTTTACCTACTGTTAATATCCCTTCAGTGATACAGAGATTTCTCACACACACAGACACGTTTACAACATCCTGGCTGGGGCAGTTCAAAAGCTAGGAAGCCCAAATTTCCATGCTTGAGCTCCATCCTGAACAACCCCCCTCCATGGAAAATAAATCTGACTATAAAGAAAGGGAAGACAGAGTGATAAACTAAGCTTCACATTTCCTGGCTTGCAGAAGCTGTGTCAGAGCTTCAGTCTCAAAGTGACCTTTGAAAGAGAAAACCTGATTCATGGCAGGATGCTGAATGTGCCTGGGAGTTGCAGCGTATATTTAGGGATTTTGTGATTCTACAGGCAGAAATATCACCCACTTTTACTGCAGTATGGGGTCTTAAGTATTACTCTTTAAGGGATGGAGGGCAAGACAAACAAATCACATACACTACAAATAATGAGTGTAAAATATTGGCCTGGATAAAGAAGAGTATAACACTGAGCCACTTCAGGTGATTCCCATTCCTCAGCTCTCACCTGGAAGAGTCGTGTGAAGATGTCAAACTCAAACACTGAGATGTAGTCATTGCAGGTGAGGTCGATGGTTGACTTGAGGGCCATGGCCTCCAGGCCAGAGCTGATGGGATGCACCTCGTGCAGGGCCTGGCGGAAGCTCTTCCAAGGAACAATGGTCCTGGGGAAAACAGGGAATGGGAAATGGCTGAGCACCACCATGCACACAGCCACACCTTTGTCAGAACCCATGCTGTGATAACATAGGAAAGTCACAAACAGCCACATGAGATTTATTCACGTCACACAAAAAAACCCCAGATTTCTTGGTACTGCAGGAAATCAGCAGCCAAATGAAATTATGACAATTTTCTCTGCACATGCAAGATTTTGAAATTAGAAGCCCCCCTCTGGTTTCTCTTTTCCCTCTTCCTGCAGTCCTACCACAGCATCACTTGATAATAATTTCACAGTGTTGTAGCTGGCAGAGAAGAAGTTAAGTCTAGATGGTTAAAAAAAAGCTGCAACCAACTCTCTAAAGAAGGATTAACTGGAGAAGGAAGATAATCACAAGCCAAAACACAGGCTCCTGTTTAAAGGAATATTTTCCTTTTCTTAATAAATCAAGTGGCATAGAAACACAGAAAGAAAATGCCTCACTTCAGACAACTGTGCTATTCATGAGTAAATACATTATGGCTTTTTGTTCTGACAGCTACTAATTAAACTCTTTAGGTGAAGTACCTCAGTTCCCTCAGTTTGAAAGCAGTACCCAATCCATTAACTTTAATCCCCAAACATTGCTGTGAACACCTCCATGGTTCATTTAGTCAGTGTTTCATTAGATACAGAAATTAAACCTGACATTTCAGCAGTCTGCACACAAACACTGTTGCATTTCCCTTTCCCCTTCACTCTCAGCAAAGCCATTTTGCAAACAGAAATCCAGAGAAGAAGAGAGGTGAGTAAATGATTGGAAAGGCTAATTGGAGGGAAGATGAAAAGAATATAATATTATGGCTTAGCTAAAGAACAACCCATGTTGGGGGCATGGTAACCTTTGGAAGAAGAAAGGATTATTTTGCATAGCTTGTAGAGCTTACTTAAAAGTTAAAGAATTAAATCAAGGAGAGGAAAATTTAAGCTGAATAATCAAGGAAAACACTGTGACAATACAAGAGTCTCCTGGGGAAACTGGGGAAAGATTCATCCCTTGACACATTTAAAACCAGGCAGGACAAAAACTGGGAAATTTCATGTAGGAATAATTCCTTACCTCAGCCCAGAGATGACCAAATGACCAGCAGGTCTCTCCCATCATTTATTTTAACCTGACAAAGCCCTGCCTGAATGGCCAAACAGAATTCTTAAAAAACACTGGGTGCAATTTGCTCCCACATCTCTATTTTTAAGCACAGTTAGAAACTTACTTTTCACCAAAAGCCTTTCTCCAAAATTCTGCAGCATCTGCCTTGGTGATCCGGAACGTGTCCCCCTGGAAGAGGCCACTGGGGAAAATCCCTTTGAGTTCTGCCAGCATGTGGCTGAATATCAGGGACAGTTTGGTCAGGTTCCTCCTGCAAAGGACCACAAAAATTGTTTATTTTAGGAAAAAAAAAGAGTTTAGTATTCCAAGCAAAGCAGAACCAGCACTTATTGCAATTCAAGAATGATCCCAGCATGCAAAACTCTTATTTGGGGCTCTCTTTCAAGTGTTTCCCCAGCATTTAGAACATCCAAAACATGGGAACTACCAGCAAGGTCTGTGTTTGTCAAGACATTTTCCACAATGACAAACTCTGTATAACCTCTTTAAAGTGGGCAGGCAAAAATCCTCCCAGGGAAAAACACATTCACAAAAAATGTGCAAAACCAATACTCAGACCTCACCTACTGAGTACTGAAAAAAAACTCATCAGGTTTGGGTCTGAAAATTCCTTTTGAGAGCACATAAAACTACTGCTGCCCCAGACAATGGAAGCTGAATGTCTTTGCAGGTCTCCAGAGGCTCCCAACACAATAGATTTGCTCAGGGAATCTCTAACTGATCCTAACAGCCCCAACCTCCCAAGGGAATGCAAAAACACCTGCAGGTTTTTCCTAAAATGGTCACAACTTACACACCAAAGCTCTCCAACATACTGTGTTTAATTATCCAATTTGAATTACAGCTGGGACCTCAAGTCCCTTCTCTGCCTGGTGACACTGAGACATCAGGAGTGCTCTGTCCCACAGGAAATGCCCTTTTTTAAGCTGGAAAAGAGAATAGATATTTTTTGCTGTTCTATTCACCAGAGGCACCTCTCACTCTCACTCCTTTATCCAAATATTCCAAATATTCTCCTCCACTCCATTGCTAGGAAAAGCTCCTGAAAAGAGACAGGGATATTTCTAGGCCAGAGGAGGTTTTTTTTCACCCTCATATCACGTGCTTGAAGGTAAAAGAAGGAACTGGCATCATGTGGGGAAGAACAACTTGTGAGCTGTGCCCAACACACCAGAGCTGCTCAGAAAGCTGCATCACCCACCAGGCACGGCACAGGCTCACTCATGGCACTGATTATTTCAACACTGAACCACAGAGGGAGGGAACATCCCCAGCCACATCGGATTTTCTTCTTTTCCCATCTCTCTCCCTGAGTTTGCTGCTGTTGCAGAACACTTGTGTTTGGCAGCAAACTCCACTCCCCCAGGCTCCAGCCTTTCACCAGTTTCTGCTGTCCTGGTTGGAGTGGTTCCTGTTCACTTCATCTTGGATGTTTTTCAGATACCACTTGCTCCAAACATGCTGTGGCCATTTGAAGGACTTATCCTGTTAACGTGCCTGATTGCAGAACTGACCTCAAGCCTTTCCACAAAAATTCCCTGGACATTTCCCACATTTTCACAGGGTCTAGACTCAATTGGAAGTGACCATATTGCTTGACATATATTCTAGTATTTCCTCAGCCCCTCATGAGCTCTTTCTCCATACCCTGACTGGGTACATTAGAAGGGTCCAAAACTCTAAATTTTCTCTGACAGCAGTTCCTTCTCACCCTTCTTTATTCACCTACATTTTCATTTGTGTGCAGCAACGAAATCTGCTCAAAGTGTTTACGGAAAACACCAGCTACACAGAGAATTCTGGTTTTTGTCATTTCATACGTGTCCAACAACAGCAGGTGCTTGGGATTAAGAGAAGGAAAAGCCCCCAGCTGCTCTTCCCCGAGCTGTCCCACTCCCCAGCTGTCTCTGGATGTGTCACACACTCAGACTGGGTATTTTGAAGCAGTTCTACAGACTGGGTTTGGCACGTGAAGTAATTCATGTGTGTTTCTCTTTGCATTTCTGAGGGGAAGGCTCACATTCTGAGCTCGTGCTACAGGGAAGGTGATTTAACTGTAAATTCCCACCCCAGGTCCCTCCCGTGGAGATTCCCACCGTGTCCCTGCAATGCCTTTTTCTGATAAACACTAGAAAAATTGTAAATCAGAGCTGTGGAATTCTGAAAGCCCTCACTTTCATAAAAAGGAAAAAAAAAAAAAGAGGACAGTTTGTGTTAGTGCAAGAAGAAAAACCAAACACCAGGCTGCTGTCAATCATTTAATCCATTTAATCTACAACCCAAGCAAAAAATTATGGACTTTTTTTTTACTGAGTTTAAAAAAACAGAGGCTTTAATAAACCTGCTAATGATTTTGTACTCTCCTATTGTTGCCCAGCACAATGTGGGGAAATTTGGGTATGACAGAAAAGCACTTTGATGCATTTCTGACCCTGAACAAGTGCATGGTTCAAACAAAACACTGCAAAAAGCCAGGGAATATTCCAGTGCCCAGCTGTTTATCTCTTCTGCCCCAGCTGAGCTCCAGGAAGTGCTTGCACTCAGCTGAGCACATCAGTTAATGAGAGAAATAAGAACTTCCTCAGCCTTAAGGATGGATAAACAAACGGTTTTACACACACACATTGAAGGACTTGGTTTCCAAAACCAGCTGAACATTTTAAATTCTCAAGGTTGTCATATTTTTTTACAAATATTCAGCTATATTGTAAGTAAATAACAGGAAAAACCACAGGAAGTGAACATAAAGAGCAGCAAATTGCAAAATATTTTGTGTTACTGGCTTTTACATACAGCAGTTAGCAATCCTATGCTAACAGGACAAAAATTGCTTTATTTTAGCAATTTACATATTTGCAAATTTATACAGACCAAATAAACACTTGCAATTCTAGAGAATATTTTTATTGGCATGTCAAAGCTTACTGATGATGATTGTGTTTTATTTTTAGTAACGTCAGAACTGTCCTTATTGCAACTGCTTCAACTAAGCAGATGTGAACGCACTCTCAGAAAAAGGGGCACATATTCAAAGAACATTTATGGCTCTTAGACTGGAGATTTCCAAACAGTTTTGGCCACAGACCTCCAGCAATGTCCCATTTTTCAAAATTTTACTTAAACACAGTAATCCACACAACACTGTCACCGAGGGCTCCACCGGAGACAAATTATAAATTAAAGAACTAAATCTTACAAGTTAAAATTAAATCCTACAAGAATTAATTAAAATTAAACAAGTTAAAGAATGAAATGCCAGTTTGGGAAGAGCTGAGTGCAGCACCTAAATCCTGCTGCTGGGGAATTTCAACAACTGCCACCCAAGCAGTGCCAAAAACGTCACCCAGGGACCTCAGGCCACATCACAGCGCTGTCCCCAGAGTGTGCAGGCAGCTGCAGGCAACACCTGGGCCAGCTTCAAAGAGCCAGAGCTGGTTCTGTGCTCACAACACCAGCTGAGGTGGGATTTCACAGCCCCAAGTGCTTTCACACGTATGTGCAAAGCTTTCGGTTTATTATGGTTGGAAATAACGAATCAACAAGTGAAAATGTGGAAGATAAATATTTTTTTTCCACTGTATACAGTAGCCAAGTGTTTGACACGTGGAGAGGAACACCTGCAGCTGGAGCATGGAGGGATCAGTGCTTGTGCACACAGAGTGAGCTGAGAATTGGTTCTGGAACCAGCCAGACACAGCTCCAGAGCCTGCTCAGCCCAAACCCTGCTGCCCAGCTCAGCTCAAGCCCCAGCACCCACCAGGCTCTGAGCTTTGGGGAACCAAAACCAGCATGAAGCAAGAGTGTTCCTTCAGTTCCTTCAGTTCCCCCATGCCCAGGGACAGGGTCCCCTCCTTCCTGCCCCAAGCCCCCTCTGCTGCGGTTCTGCTCTTCCTTCCTGCCCCAGGATGGGTTTGGGGCTGCTCCACACATTTCTGTGGAATTCAGGAGGCTGAGCAGAAATTTCCAAGTGCAGCCCCCACTGCCAGCCCCAGCTGGGGGTTCTGGTGGTGTTGTCTCCCCCCAGACCCTCAGCAGATTTTTCTTTCCCAGTTTCCTGGACAAAAGTTCTTTCACTGTATGGGCTCCATCTTGGAAGCCATTAAAGGTTTGGTTTAATCAGGGATGTGTCTCTCAGCCACACTGACACAATTAGTTAAATTAATGTGCTTTGTGACTAAATGCCTCTTCCCCTCAAGGCAATGTTAACGTGGCACAACCATTTCTGCCACTGCCAGCTAGGATTTTTTCATTTTCTTCCAGTATTTCTCATCTCCTTCAGAGCCATCCAGCTGACACAATATAATTTAGCTCCTCACACGTAGCAAGGATCAGCTCCACAGGCTGATTCAGTCACAATATTGTGCTCACATGCCATCATTTGACGTGCACACACTGTAAAGCTCATTCTGCTGAAGGCATGTTACAAACACACAGGAATTATGAGCTGTAGCACAAGAAATCAACCTCAAAATGCTTCACTTCTCTGTAATTATTGTCCTTATTTCTTATTCTTACACTCTTACCATCAGATTCTGTTGAGGTGACATGGTTAGCATCCACTGGATAAACTGCAAGCTCCACTAGCTATGAAAACACCAACCACAAACCCACAGTTTTTTTTCCTGTAACTGCAACTTACAATTTTACACTTGAAGAGTTTAAAAAGAAAATTAATTTAAAAAAACAAACCAAAAAACCAACCCAAACAGCTCTTTTAACGACTCCAACAAGTAAAATGCACCTTTCAGAAACCACAAAGATGTGAGGTTCTCATGTCACAGGGGCTTTCAGATGCACCAGGCATGAGCAGTTTGATTTCAGCAGAGAGTTTGATATGCCTGCCTTCAAAAAGAAGAATTTGATGCTGTGCTCCCACCCCAGGCAGGAGTTTTCTGTGTGCTCATGTTCACAGAAGCAGCGAGTGGAAATGCTCGAGGTGATCCCAAGCTGTCTTTTGTAACCCTGAGGCAGCTCAGGCTCCTCTGATCAGGTTAAAAATAGAAACAGCGGAACTACTTTCAACAAAACTTGCAACACAGGAAGTGAATGAAATTCCACTTAACTATTGCTGGCTCAACAGAAGGCACCTTAGAGAGCCAGCTCTGTAACATTCACAGGATTTCCTCCGAGTAAATAAAAGAATGGATTCATGTTATATTTATTGCTTGTTCTATAGAATTTTTCACCATCAGCTCCTCCTTTTTCAGTGCTTTAGGCATTACAGGGCAGTTTCCTTATGCTCCACTGAAA